GAGAGGTCGCCGATGGGTTCGCCGGACGACAGGCCAATGATAACAATCCTTTGTATTTTGAATACATTGTCATCGGATGGCAAAGAGCCGATGGATTGACACTCTTTGATGAGCAGGAGTTTGTCCGCCTGGAAGATACCGATCAGCCCATGGATCAGACCGTGACATTGAAACGACTCGTACGATGTGCTGTCGTTCACTGTCGATGAGATAATAACATACAAGACATCGTGGGATCAGTTACGAGATAATTTACTACTATATTGGTGACAAACTATTACCGATAATTGGCTTAAATAGCGGTTCCGTTTGAGTGACACTTCGCGAACACCACAGACTGTATTGGTTTTGCTTTAAGACAACGTAATCACTATTGGAGAGCACTTCCATCGATGGCTCACTCATGAGTGTTGTGGTGAATGGGCTGTCGATGGCGAGCGTCGACTCCCAGTCCGTCAACGGTCCACACAATTAGCTATTAATCGCTGAATATATGAATATAAACACAAAACATATGATAAACTAAATGTCAAAACAACACAACAAATAGTGAATCGTTGAGTAGTTTTGTAGCGATTTGTTTCATTCACTCAATGCTATGGCTATGAGTTGGCATTCATTGCGTGCATTTCGATGAGTATTTGGTTTTCACACGAGTTTATGAATCAGTTTGTAGTTTGAGTTGACATTTGAATCAATAAATTATGATTTAATTGTCAAAACTCATTGACATTGAGTGCCACTCACTGCACAATACACTCACAGTCTGTTTATAACGCAATACGTTATTCAAGTATAATATTACAGGGGTTTATACAATGTATTGGATATAGGGTTGCCATCTGTACTGTATGAAAATGTGTACACAAATTCATTTTTGCATAATTCTGTGACTATTCTAATAAACTAGGTACAAATTTAATTAAAATTTTAATTATAAAAGCTTACCTAAGCATATACGACCTTTGACCTTAGTAGTGACTTAAATAATTCAGATTTTATGTAAATGATAATGGTGTTTTCATGTTGTATAAAATGGACATAATGTGGAATATTGTAAGAATCTGAACAACACTGACAAGAATTGTGAGAATATTTCAAGAATCTAAATAATAACGTAAAGAATTTTTATGCGAAACTTGATTTTAAAATTATTTTAAATTATTTTAAACAAGATTTAAGTAGAAATTTTTTAAGACGTGAAAATTGCTGTGAATGTGTACTAAAAACAATAAGTCAACCCCGTATTGCAGCATTATATAGAGTTTCTATGGGAACTAATCATTTTTATTTGACATTCGCTATATTACTGGCTATATATTCATGGCATAGCCTTCCTCTCAGACCTC